TGGCACTCACTGTGGGGCACCAACCACAGGGTTTTATCTAGGTAAGTCTCTTACAAATTGAGAAGTACTAGATCAAAGTATGTGGGTCCCAATTGGTAGGCAGGGCTGTCACTAGAGTGAGGTTAGTGAGGCCCTGGGGTGCAAAACTTAAGGAGGTAGTCACTCTTAGGGTTGTGCAAGTGCAGGGTCGGTGCCTCACCTGCCTCACTCTACACCTGGACGGGCGTTACCTGAAGAACAGGTCTGTGGTCAGTAAGAATGGAAACATTGACGTGTACATCTTATCGCATGATTCCTCTGAGCCTTTAACAAAGGAGCATTTCTCAGTGAGAAGAAGGCAGACAAAGGGGCAGCACGTTCCAAACTGTTTTAACCACAGAACCCTTTTCATGGACTAGAGAGAGGGGTTTGTTTCTACATTTGAAAAGAGAGCAGTAGATAGATGAATATTATTTCTCCATCTACCTCCTTACATAATTAGTTCTCTCTTTACACAACGTCTAGTCTCCTAAACTAGTCTGACTTATACCCTGAACTCACAGTGCTGGCAAATGCTCCGTAGATCGTGGGGACCTATCAAGAGTCTCAGTAGCGACTTTACATTTGAACGACATTTGTCAGTATATGTTCCCGTCATCTTCAGAATACCCGCCCTCCTCCCATTATGTTACTCATCCTACGGTAAGGTATTCCAGTAGATTATCCATCCATAAGTTAAAAAGTTAGAACTGTGCTGGTAGCCATTAGCCACATGTGGTTATTTAAATTAAAATGAAAATGAAAAAAAATTAGAAATTCAATTTCTTGGCCCTCATTTCAAGTGCTCACAGCCACAGGTGGCTGGTGGCTACCATATTACATAGTGCAGACATAGAACATTTCCAACTTGCAAAAAACTGTTGAATAGCACTAAGGATTTGCCCAATGCTCTATGGCCTTTTGCAGGCTGATTTGACACCAGAATTGGAATTCTGAGCCAGTGTTCTCTGAACAGACTGCCTCAGGAGGGGAGCTCCTCTTAGTAACCAAGACTGTGCACCTGAATGGTCCGCAGTCAAAGGAGGGTGGGAGGGACATGATGGTGTAGGCCACCGGCAGGAGGCTGAGGAAGAGCACCAGCAGCAGGAGGCCCATGTAGAAGTTGTTGGAACGGGAGGCTTTGAACACACGTTCGTGGGGGACGTTGCTGCTCATCACTGCCCAGCACTGGAAGTACATGGAGGTCAGCAGGCGCAGCACGTTGATGCCCACCAGTCCCGGAGCATAGAAAGAGCCCATCCTGGAGGGGCAGAAACCACACACCTGGTTGGCCTGGCAGCAAGAGAGGCCAGGGAAAGATGACAGAAGGAGGAGGGATGGATGGGTTAGGGGAATAAAGCCTTGCTGCTTTCTCTGCAGGTCCCAAGGGATGGGGTCTCCCATTTAACTAGGACATATATCAGCAAGCCATAGCCATGCAGGTACAGGGAGACACTCCAAGTATTCGTGGCTTGGGTTCTGGCCAGAAGTTAACCACTGCCTCACCACCAGGCATCTAGCAAATTATACAGCCTCTCCGGTGCTCCATGGTCTCCCTAAAGGAACACTGCTGCTCAGAAGAGCATTTGAAAAGTCCTTAAATTAAGAGAATTTGATTTTGGCTTGCAGTGAGCCCTCGGAACCTTGACAATCTTTGGCTGAAGTTATGCAGCCTCCTCTAACTCCCTTCTCAGAGGAGGAAATTTCTTAGTTCATTTGTCTCCCTCCTCTCCCTCCATCTTTCTTTCCTTTCTTTTCCTCCT